TGAGAGCGAAGTTGTTTTTTTTTTTTGAGTATGATGATCTAACTCAATCGTTGGGCCCTGATAGCAGCAGTAAATAGATCCCGCCAGCAGCCTACCACCCCCCCCCCCCACCCCTTCAACTATTCCCACTCCCGACCCAACCCCCACCGGCCTCCGCTGCCCGTGGCCGTCCACGTGCGTTTTGTAGCTGAAATGTAACATTAGCTGCTAATGCCAAATAGTTTATATTTGTTGTTGGAACGCGACGCTGCCAACATGGCGTGCTTCCGGCGGCCAGTGCATGCCACAATGCCAGGCCCCAACCCAGCCCCAACCCCAGCCCGGACCGATCCGGCCCGATCCGCCCCTATACGCCAAATCGCCCCCTAAACGCCCTCGCAGCCCGTCCTCCGCCCAGTTGTGGCTTCTTGCGATGCGCGCTTCATTACCCGACCACATGTCAACCAGCTCTCAATTTGCTGATGCTACCCGCAGCCCGCAGCCCGCTGCCCCCTCGCCAATAGTTTGCCGCGCCGGCCTCCCTTTTGGATAACCGCCCCCCCAACCATCGAGCGCCGAGCCCATTATCAACGCCAGGTGCGTGCTCGTCGCTCGTGTCGGCAGAGATTTGCCCGCTGCCCGTCTAATCATTGCATTTAAATTGAACAATTAAACTAATTTCGCTTTGCGCTGGCGCATGGAAAACACATTTTACTTCTTTTTTTTTTTTTTTGGTATTAAATTCATAATTTTTCTAACATATTGTGAAGAGAGTATATTGTTGCCCCAAATATGTTACGGCCAACTTTACAGCAAGGCCACAAATCGGTTCGAATTGGAGGAATTCCAACTCTTTTTTTGTTTTGATCTGATTCGCAGCTTAAATCAAAGGATATTTGCACAAAAAACAGCTCAATCTAAACCCAAAACAAGCCGTAAATTCCTTTTAAAGATTTAGGCACAAATATCTTGGATATTTATCTGAATATATTTGGTAGGATGCCAAATTTTGGCTGAAAATCAAATATAGCCCGCAATTTCCATACGAAAAAACATAGTATGCAATATTTTCAGTAGAACGGGCAGAGAAAATTCAAATAATTAAACTGTTTTGTTAAAATTGTGCAAATTGATATCAAAGCAAGATAAATTCAAGATTGGTTCACGAACCAATTCGAACGACAGCGAGCTGGTTCATTCATTGTGAACCATTGTTTGCAGCCCTGCCTTAAACGGTTCACAAACTGAACCAGTTTCTATGTATTTTTGGGTTTGCAGCCCTGCTGATAACTTCCTGAAATCTGTTACCACAAAGATTACGGCTAACTTTTAAAGTAAGCTCAGACGAGCTGCTTTAGCTGGGCACAGAGTATGGATTAGTCGGGCAGCCCGTGCCGACTGCAATTATTTCTATCAATTTTTTACAAATTGTATTTTATTTTAGTCTTCTTTTTTTTTGTTTTTTTTTTTTGTAACTCACCTCAACTGAAAACTGCAGTCGCAACTTCCGGCACGATAAACAAATATATAGATAAATAGGAAAAAGAGAGACAAAAAAAAGCAAATAGAAACGCGAAACGAAAAGAAAAACTCTTTGAAAAATGCTTATTTGCTGTTGGCCCGCTTTTTTGGAAAATGTTCACACGATTTTCAAATGCAAATTGCGTTTTTTGTCTTTTTAGGCCAGCCACCGAGTGTGTAAAAAATACAAAAAATAAACGGCAAAACCAACAAAAACGAACCAAAAAAAAAAAAAAAAAAAAAGAAAGAAAATACGTTAAGAAAATTAACACTTTATGCGGGTGCGGGAGACGGGCCAACGAATTGTTGAGTCGTTAGTCGAAAACCGGGCGACGATCGCACGTTACGAGAAATGAATGACAATGAGCAGGTGGGTCAGCTTTTATAGGCGGACGTCAACCCCCGGGCATGGGCACAGGCGCCCATTTCCAACCCCCAACCCAACCCCCTCCTACCAATCTGAGCCTCGCCCTGATAACGGACGAACGGTTGCCATCCATCGAATCCTGGCCAGCTCGACCCGGATAAGATAACAATCGAGCTATTTGCGGCCGCATGGTTAACGGTTAATGGGGTCGAACAGTTCGAATCGGGCTTATCGCCAACCGCCCGCCTGTCGCTATTATTATGCAAAACAATATGGCGTCCGCTATCGATCCAGTCCAGAGATAAAGATAACATCAGCCGATATCTGACATAGCAGCAACTCCAGCCCCAACACAACACCACGACAGTCAGCCCCATCTGGTGGGTTTTTGGTGTCCCCAAAATACAAATATATATTTGCCCGACAATAATCCTTTTAATCCCATGATTCTAAGCAGCTCTTCAGATATTACGCTACAGCAACTAATATATTATTGTTAGTATATGTACATATTATGTATTTGTGCAAATGTATGTAACAGGCTGAAGGAAGCATCTCCGACCCCATAAAGTATATACATATATTCTTGATCAACATCAACAGCCGAGTCGAACTAGCCATGTCCGTCCGTCTGTCCGTCCGTCCGTCTGTCCGTCCGTCCGTCTGTCCCTCCGTCCGTCCGTATGTATGAACGCAAGGATCTCAGAACCTATAAGAGCTGAAATTTTGGCTGTAGGTCCTCCTAGATCGAATTTGTTTCCGATATTCGATAACTCCGCCCCGTTTCCAAGTAATCGATAAAAATCGATATCGAAATCCTGTTTTTTGAGCAATTTTGGTAAATAATATGAGCTAGATTCACGAAACCTGACATGAAGCTTTTAGAATAGTTAATATATATCAAGTATCTTTCATTTAATACCTATCGCCTGTTGGAAGAAGAGGGTTCAGGGTATCCCCTAGTCGGGAGCTCCCGACTTGTTATTATATATTATCATGATATTTCAAGAGTTATAAAAAAAGAGCTATATAAAAGCGAATTGTTCAAGTAAACCAGGAAAACAGCCTCTTCGAATCTCACAGAATTGTCAAATGTTACAAGAATTCATATCTAAAGATCTGAGGAAAGAAATCTCCTTCGAATTCTCAAGTACTCTTCATTCCCTGCAAATACTTGGTATTCACAAATGCAGACTAGGACTAAGTCTTTAATTGATTTCTTATAATTCCCTAAGAATTTCGTAATCTTATTCTAGATCCATATCTGGCCATATCTGCCTCTAGCTAGGTGCTTAATTGTGCTGCGGATCGAATCGTAATTGCATACTAGTATTTAACTTCCAAAAACAATCGGAATAAGATTGAGTTCTAGCATGAAAAACTATTTGTTTTTTTTGTAAGTTTTCTTAATTAAAGTCAGCAAAGAAAAGCTTAATAAAAATCAAAATCTGATCAGAATCGGACGTCTATATATAGCAGATGTGCAGTCTTCAGCACTTCGAAGATACTTTTCTTGTTTGTATCAACTTAACCCTTGGAAAGGGCTTAAAATTGAGCAGAACTTTAAACAGATTATTAGAGTCAAATCTTCGAGTTTGTCAAATGCGAATGTAAGAAGCATTATAAATATATTTCATAGACTTTTATAGGTGCTATCTAAGACGTTTTATGAAACCTATCATCATTCGAGAGAATTGTATAGCTTTTGTATATGATCTTCATTGTGCTTTTGTATAGGCCAACATTATATTCAGAATCGCTTTCAACTATTCGAAATATTTAAGTTAATTTTAATCACGCGGCTACCAGGATTTAGCCCAAGTTCTTTTGATATTATAATATATGTGAGTTTTGGAAAAATAGAATAGTTATTTGTATGTAATCTGAAAAATAAACTGTTTTCGATTGAATTCTTCGTAGCTGAAAGAAAGTATAAATGTCTATCTACATAAAAGATGCCTAAGAGCTCGCTGATCGATAAACTAAGCACAAAACTTTGGTACAGTTACGCACGAGTTGGTTAAGCAGTCGCATTTAAAACATACATACATATATAAAAATAAAATCAAATGAAAGAGTCAAACGCCAAACAATTGAAAGAGCATATCAGTTGGGTCGCAGGTCGCTTGGGGGAAGGGTTCTCGTTTTGGCATGGGTGCGGGGGAGGGGCAGGGGGGGAAGGGCACGGATCGATAGGCGGCCCAATCAAAAAATAATTCGGTAAATTAAACAAACGGGGCGGGCAAATGATGAGTATTATTCAGTTATAGCCATCGACTAATGTATACGTACATCTATAGCTATACATTTGGTTAGATATGACAGCCGAGTGCAGCATATGGCAAGGGCGAAAAGCACATCCGATTTATGACAGGCCAAGTAAATAGAACGTAATGTTAAATCAAATAGAAATTTCCTAAACTATGTTATATTCTTCTTCTTCTATTTTTCTGTTTTTTCCATAGAAGAGCGGCCATCAAATCATACATGGCATGGGCTTTGGCCTTTGGGGCGGGGAGTAGGAGCGGTCGGGCAGGTAGGACTAGCTGGCTGGCTGGCTGCGGCTTATCGCTGCGCGCAACATAATGTGGCAGCAGGTAAACGTTGATAAGGCCACGTTGCAATGACAGCGAGCCAGGAGCAGGGGCAACAGATAAGCCAGCCCAGACCAGCGCAGCCCAGGCTGTTGCTGTTGCTATTGCTATTGCCGGTGCCGCTCCTGAGCGCTGCCATCGCCTTATCACAATTTAAATATTAATTTAGGGATATGAGCGAGAGAACTATTTAACGTGCAACCGACGCCAAAGCCGATGGCTCTGCGCTCGGTTTGCTTATCGCGCCGCATGCAAACAGCGCGCGAGCAAACAGCAAACGATATGCCAGATACACGAGCATATATACATATATATATATACACACATATATGTATGTATATAGCATATATAGCTGGGCGTGCGGTTCACATGGTCCATGGGGCGGCACCGGAAATATTCGTGGCGGGCAGCAGCTGCTTTCTGTTAAGGTTTCGATTTTGACTGCTGCCAATTCGTTTAACTACTGTTGCCACGCCCACTGGGCAGCGCCTACGATACATGCTAATGAAAGTGTTTTGCTGGAGTTTGCAACAACTCACCAAAGATTTGGTGTCGCCATCAGCGTCGCCGCCGCCTTCGCTTAACTTTTGGCTCTTCAGTGTGGCAACCTGTTTGCGTAGTGCGGCAATCTGTGGAAAGAAGATGAAGCATGTTAGAAATGAGTGTGTGTGTTTGTTTCTGCATCATCATATGGCAACGTTGACGGTTGTTGTGGCGCGCAGAAGCCGGCTGCAGAAAGTCCTACAAGTGCAACTTGTAGGCAGCAAGTTGTCACTGCAGCAAACAGCGAACAGCGACAACATCGTCAACTGGGGGGACTTCCCCATGGCGCCCCACTTACCTCCTGATCCTTGTGCTCGCATGCATTTTCTAGCTGCTCCTTGAGCGTTTGCGTCTCCGTTAGCAGCTCGACGGCCGTTTTAGTGTTTAGCTCGGGTCCGCGGTACTCATCATCGCCGGGTCCGGCTGTGTCGGCCAGCACCTCCTGGGCCAAGTTCGTCAGTTGTCCTTTGATGGTGTTCAGGCTGTTGTTTAGCCACGACATGCTGCCTACTGTCTGCGTCCTGTGGATCTGGGCACCCTCGGTCAATGCCCTATATTTCAATTGCTTATAGATGCCCAAAATTAAAAAATAACTAATTTATAATTTTGCGTGGCACAAGAGCTGCTTCAGCTGATTATTGTTATTGTCATCGTTGGTATCGATAGTCGCACTTACGATATATCGGCGCGTGCACGATGAAATGCTGGATGCTGCGAGGCACAGCTGTCAGCTTTCAGCCATTTATCCGCCAGATTTAGCTACATTTAACAGCTCTCCATTTAAAACTTAATACACAGTCAAAATTCATATTTTACTGGTATAACTAGGTGGTAAATTATATATTAAATGGCCGCAAACAATGGTATAAGACAATATTTCTTCCTAAATTCGGTGATCAATTCTTGCAGGTTCTAAATCCAAAGCATTGGAATACAACGATTTTTTTTTTTTTCAAAATGAGCCCCTATTGGATGAAATGTGCATTTACATAATTGAATAATACAGTTGTTATGAAGAGTAACTGAAATCGAACAAAGCAATACAATTTTTAAATAACAATTTTGGCGGCAAACCTAGTACGCCTCCTCTTATCAGTCGTGCGCAGAACGACGCAGTAATCGAACAATCGTAACGTAATCTTAATTATGCCGATAATTCTTGTTCATCACTAGTCGCGGCACTATTTACTTATGTATAAACACACACACACACACATGACAAACTAACAAATTGAAATGAATAAAACCTTACAGCCTCGGATACTGATAAATTGTTTAAAAGTGAGTAATTCATAACTAAATCCTAGTGTGCTCTCATTCATGTCAGTGCATTGTTATTTAGCACTGGTCGCGCTGCTATGGAACGGAACAAGCACAGGCACGGCCCAAAAAACGTTCTGTGTGCGTTGGTCTTACACAACCGCCGGATCCGCAGTCGGTGAGAACGGATTATATTGGTCCGCCGGATCCGAAATCCAATCTGCGGCCGTATGTGCGGCATTACGATGAGAACGAAACCGAATTGGCCAAGAAATTGCGACTCTTACGCATTGAAGTTGAGAAATGGAATATGGATTTCTGGACAAAGCACAACAAACGCTTCTATGAGGTTTGTATCTGGGCTCATTTTATATCATTATCATATATCATTTTAATCATTCCGGGGGTATTTTTAACACTTGGCAGAAAACCCACATGCCCCTCTCTTTAGCTCTGTCTCTCTCTCTCTCTCGCACGCGCTCACCCACTCTCCATCGCTCTCGCTCGCTCTCTCTGCCTCTGCTTCTCTTTCATTTGTATCCATGTTGAATAAAATTTCGAAATGTTTATAATACATTTTTGTTTATTATGTTTGTTTTTTATTTTTGCAGGAAAAAGCGGATTTCATACGATTGCACAAATTAAGCGGGAACGACGAGATAAGCGCCGATCAAATGAGTGTTTTTTATAAATCCTTTCTCGACAAGAACAGACGCATCCATTTGATGTACAATATATCGTGGTATATTAAAAATTTTGACATGCTCACGTTAGCGTTTGCCGTGGAAGTGCAACAATTATTTAGCCGCATTAGAAAAAAGACGTAGCCAACATTTATAAATGTACACAAACACACACCCAACTATTAACTTTAAACAAGCTACACATATATATATATATATATATATATATATATACATATATTCAATGACAATTCGGGGTACATTCATATTATGTAAATTGTTGAAGAAAATTTAGTTAAATTGTTTCACTACATGAACAAAAAAGTTTTATGTAAATATAATATATATAAATAAACGAAAAAATCACATATATATATATATATATACACATATATATATGTATATATGTAAAAATTGTTATATGTTTTTAAAGTGTTTACATTTACTTAACAACTAAAGATAGATACACATTGATTGATATTTGTATGTTAAAAATTAGAAAAGAAATTAAGTAAAAAAAATACATTCAATTTTGGATGTACATCAAATAAATTACTACACCACCTGGGAAGAGATTGTTTCATTTGTTTTCTTCCTATACAGTCTCGTAACAGCTAAAAAGAATTTAATAATAATGATAAAAAAAAAAAAAAACGAACGAAGGCACACCCAGGTCTGCTTTTGATGTTTACAGATATTGGGTAGATAGATGTACAGATACATATATATATAAATATATATTATATAATATATGTACGCACGTAATACATACGAATAATCATCAAGTAACATAAAATACATGCTTAAAAGTTGTAACTACAAATATTTTATGCGTGAAATTTTCCTTTTTGTTTTTGTTTTTGTTTTTGTTTTCTTTTTTTGTTTTTTTTCTTTCTCTTTTTAATTATACTACAAAACACGTTTGGCTTATGAGCAATAGGATACAAATTAGCTACAATATACACGAGTGGCGCATTCGCGGGCACACACACAGATAACTTACAAGATTTTATGCCATTTACACTCGTGCATTTCGAAATATATATATATATATATGTGTGTGTGTGTGTGTGTAGATACATGCATATATATATCTAATAAATATATGTACATATATACTGCTTAAAGAATATATACTATTTTGATGATGTGGTTGTATACAACAATTTAAATCGTGTTCACTGGGAGGGAGCACCCGAACTCTTTTTGCAGCTGCTGGTGATTGTTGTTGTATGGGTGTAAGAGCTGCTGCTGCTGCTGCTGCTGCTGCTGCTACTGCTGCTGCTGGCCTCTAATTCATCCACTTTCGACAATTGGGCGCACCACAAGCGCAGGGTATCTTGTGCGCATCATCCTCAATATCAAACTTGTAGTCATACGAGAGCTGCAAAGAGCAAACAAATGAAATGTTTATGTTTGTGTCTTAGCATATAGCATGTAAAAGTAAGTAAGATATGACCTCTTCGCCTCGATAGATTTTACGCTTGGCAAATATTATGATGCGCACATCGCGATCAACCTCAACGATCTCAGTGACACAGTTTGGATTGCAGGAGTGATTGATATAGCGCGCAAGACCGCCGCTCAATGTTGCATCGACAACGCGATCCTCATCCAAGCGGAACATATAGATACCACGGTTCTGTGGGGGCCGGACAATTGTTATTTTTGTATAATATACATATAGCATTTAATTTAAGCGCTCACCTTCGATTCATATTGTTTTTCACGTATCTCCGATACTTCCGTGCGTATTACCTCGCCAATATACTCAATGATCATCGTATGCTTCTCGATGTCGCGTGCTGCATATAAGCCGAGTCCCTGAATCTTTGAGCTGATTGTTGTTGTTTGGGGCGAATGTTTTATAAAATGATTGCAATTTGTGCTCGTCTAAAGCTTACCGGGCCAGGTAGACATTGTTGCGCCATTCCTGCTTCATCTTTTTGTACTGCGAACTCTTGGAGTGGACAAACTGTTTGCTATACGGACACGCCACCTCGCCGGCAATTGCCGCCGAATTGGCCATGCGTTGGGTGCTGCAGCTGCCGGCGGTGCGCTGAGTGTGCGGCTTCCGCCAGACAAGCAGCTGGCGCTGTTTGGGCTCGGTGCGCGCCGCACCGGACGGATTGATCGCCAGCGGGAATTCCAGTAACGGGTTGCGTCCATATTTAAAACGATAATCGGTGAGCGTCTCAATGCCCGGCAAACTCTCCAATATCCGTACAATAGCCGGCTCCGTTAAGCCAAACAAATCCTCGCCGCTGATGTGCTGCGGAAAGAGTTGCAGCCATTTGTGCACCTTGCGCATACGCTGTATGGGCTGCAGTATTTGTTGCCAAACGGCCGTCGGTGTACTGTCGCGATATTCACGATCCGGCTCCTTGTCACTGGCATCGTGCACCTGTATACGGAACTCCGGCCGGCAACCGATTTCGGCAATGCTGCAGATATAGCGACATCGCCGATTCGGTCGGCGCACGCACCAGTAGTAGCGGCTCTAGAGATTCAAAATGAAACGGCCATGTGAATCGATGTGAATCTTTAGCTGTGTCCGTGCATACTTACCACCTTGTAGCCAATGGGATATATGTAGTTGGGCGTGTGGAAAGACTCCAGCTGATGCGGCAGCAGCTGGCCGACATTGAGAAATGTCATATTGCCCACACGCAGCAAGTTGCTCAGCTCCGAGTAGTGCATGACCGTGGCCACCTGACGGTTCTCATCGCGATCGACAAACACCCGTCGATGGACCACAAACGAGCTGAGCTCATTTTCGGTGACACCCGCCGAACTGCTGGCCGCGTGTGCGCTGCAATGCACCGATTTGTTCTTGTAGAAGATGCACTCCTCCTTGATGGCGCAGGGCAGATGGTAGAGATTGCTGCAGCGCGACTTGAAGCACTTGATGGTGGCGCCCAGCTGATGGCAGGCGCTGCATGCCTGATTCAGTCCCGACTGCAACGCCGTCTGGAAATTCATCAGCGCACCCGACACCGTCTCGTACACATCGTTCGACCACAAGGCACAATTTAGATGAACCTGTAACAAGACGATGATAATCAATAAATATAATATCGAGGCAAAAATCTATTTCCAATTCCAATTTCTTGACTGTAAACCGAAACGTTTACGAATGCGACAGACACAAAGAGGAATAAAGTAAGAAAATGACTAAGCTTCAAAGAAGCGAACTTTGTTTGGATAAAATACTTTGAGATAAAAGCATATTCAGAAGGGATTAAACATAATCGAAATGGGTGAAAATCTCTGGCATGTGTCCATGATTGAAATTTGATTATAGATAAGTTGAAAAGCCATAGAAGATCCGCTTTGGAGACTTTTAGCTAAACGAATATGGTTTCAATGGGAAATGTTATGTGTGTGCGGGAATCTCGTCAAGATTTAGAGCTCTGTCGTCGACACTCACCCATTTGTCGACATCAAAGTTGAGCAGACGTGAGGGTCCATCGGCCTGGCCGTCGCCGCGCTGATTGCAGAAGACGCATTGGCGGGTATCCTCCATAGCTTCTATCTTGCAGTCTGTCTCCCAGACGGTATTATTGGCCGTTGTTGTCTCATTCTCCTGCTTGACGGACGTACGCTCTGTGCTGGCTGCAAAGCAATCGGCGCTGTAGTACTTGATGATGCACTTGCGCTTCACGGGCGGCGTTGTTGGCGTCTGTTCCACCTGCTGCTGCTGCTGTTGTTCTTGTTGTTGTTGTTGTTGCTGCTGCAACTGTTGCTGTTGCTGTTGCTCCATTTCAATATCGTCGGGCTCAACCTTGTCAATGGGCAGCATGTTTAGGGTGTCGCTTGCGGGCACATCGCCAGCTATTGGCAAAGTTGTGGCCGAGGCGGCGGCTGCTGCAGCGGCCACCTCCTCGTCGGCTGGCTCCTCCTTGCCGCGCCATTTGTACTGTGCAAAGCAGCTGCGATTGCAGAAGTAGACATACGGCGGCGACGGGGTTTTGCGCGGCAGCAGCGAACGCAGCATTGCCAGCATGGGCGGTGGCTGCTCCTCCGGCAAATTTTGATGCGGCACGCGCAGGCCAAAGGCGGCAATGACGCTGCCGCAGCAACGGCACAGCTTCCGCTGTCCGGTGAGTATTTTGCGCAGGTTGCCGTGACTAGTGACAGCTGTTGCTGGTGCCGGTGCCGAGTTGCTCTGGCCAGGAGCCGGCTCTGCTTCGCTTGGCTCCTTGGCCTTGTCCGCCGTTGAGGCATCGATCAGTTTGCAGGTTAGCGCGGGCGTCAAGTGCAACAGATTCGCCAAATCTCGCAGCACGCCGGCAATGTTGTCCGTTGCCGAGTTGTGCAGTGAGAGTATCACATTTTGGTTCTTCTGCTGGTAATTATTATTGTTGTTGGTGCTGCTGTTGTTGCTGTTGGTGCTGTTGGTGCTGTTGGTGGTGCTGTTGGTGGTGCTGCTGGTGCTGGGATTGTGGCCCAAGCCAATGCCCAGATCGAGCTGCTGCGCCTTGCGCAACTCCTCGCCGCAGCTGCGCAAAAGCGGCGAGACAGGCGGACGCATCGTAGTCGCATCCATGGCCACCGCGACGGGTGACATGCGTCCCGGTGCACAGCGCTGATTGCTGTTGGTATTGAGCAGCACCAGGCCCGGATAACGACTCAGCCGCGACCAGGCAACGGGCCCATCCAAACGCATGCCCGTTGCCTGCTGCTGCTGTTGCTGCTGCTGCAGCTCGACCAGCTCCGTGGTCTCCAGGTTGCAATCGCGCACCGCGCTAATCAGGCGCTGCAGACGCTCGCGCGGATTGCGCTGGATGTGCGTGGAGAACTCCTGATCGTAAAAGTCGTTCTGTATGCTCGACAGCGAGCCGCTGCTAGACTGGATGTTGTTGCTGCCGCTGCTGCTGCTGCTGGCAAAGCTGTTGGCGCTGGCGTCGCCGCTGCCGCCGAAGCGTTCGCTGTCGTACAGCGACTTGATGCTGGGATGACGCAGCTGCCCAATCCTTCCGAGCAGCTGATCGCAGTCAATGCTGCCGCTGCTGCTGCTGCTGCTGCTGCTACTGCTGCTACTGCCGTCGCCATCGTCGAGCTGTCGCTGCAGCTGCAGAGCACGCGATATGGCCTTAAGTTTGCCGCCGCCGGCGCCGTTGGCATTGCTGCCATTGCTGCCAAAGCAGGGTCCGCTGCCAATGAGAAAGTTGCGATTGAGCAGCGGCTCGAGCACCTGCAGCGGCTGCATTTGGCGTATGTGGGTCATTAGCTTCTCGGTAAATGCATCGTGATCCTCCTCGACCTTGGAGAACTTGCGCACGCGCTTCTTCAGCATGGGCGAGCCCATGCCGCCGGACCCGCTGCTGCCCGCTAGCGAATGGCTGCCAGCTGTGGCCAGCGGCCCGCTCAGCTGCGTGTTGCCCGACATATTGGCCAACGGGGCCACAGAGCCGGCGGGCAATGCGCCCGGCGGCATGTCCCTGATGCTACTATTGGCAGCGGCAGCAGCCGCCGCGGCAGCAGCAGCAGCGGCGGCAGCGCCGGCAGCAGCATTCGCATTGCTGCGTCGCGGCTTTTGTGCCTCGCGCTTTCGTCGCTTGCGCTGCTCCACGGCCTTTGGCTCAGCGCCTGCTGCTGTTACTGGTTGTTGGTGTAGCTGATGTTGCTGCTGCTGCTGCTGCTGTAGTAGTTGCTGCTGCTGCTGCTGTTGTAGCTGATGTTGTTGCTGCTGTAGCTGCTGCTGTTGTAGTTGCTGCTGCTGTTGCTGCAGCTGCTGCTGCTGTTGTAGTTGCTGTTGTACCTGCTGTTGCTGCTGCTGCAATTGCTGCGGATGATGCTGTTGTTGTTGCTGCTGTTGCTGTTGTTGCAGCAGATGTTGTTGCTGCTGTTGTTGCTGTTGTTGTAGCTGTTGTTGCTGCAGCAGCTGCTGTTGCTGCTGCTGTAGCTGCAATTGAATCTGTTGTTGCGGCTGATGTTGCTGCTGCTGCTGAAGTTGCTGTTGCAAGTGTTGCTGCTGCTGTTGTTGCTGCTGCTGTTGTTGCTGCTGCTGTTGTTGCTGATGATGTTGTTGCTGCTGCTGCTGCTGCAACTTTTCAAAAGTGGCAGCTGGCGTGGCAATGCGCGCCTTTATCATATCAGAATCCACATTATTGCTGTGCACCAAAGCAATTTCGCTCTTAATCTCCAACGCTGGCTTCTCCTCAATCTGCTGCTGCTGCTGTTGCTGATGTTGCTGCTGCTGCTGTTGCTGATGTTGATGATGTTGCTGCTGTTGCATTTGTTGTTGTTGCTGCAGCGGCAACTTGCGTTTCAAGGCCTCGCTATTGAGCAGGTTCAGATTTGCCGATTTGTCCTGCAGCTTCCAGTTGTCGCTGTGCACGGGCGCCGTTGAGTGCGGCCTCTCGGCATCCGCCTGCGCTTGCGCCTCATCATGGGCCTCCAGTTTGTTGATCTTGAGCAGCTGCTCCTTGCTGGGCTTGGTCGTTATGGAAATGGTCACATTCGATACGTGGCCGGCGCTCAGCTCGTACGGTGGCGGGGGCGGCAGCGGATCTGTCTTTATGCTCGGCTCGACAATCAAAGCGGACGGCAGCTTATTTGGCACAGCGGGCATTGCAGCAGCTGCAACTGCAGCAGCGGCAGCTGCAGCAGCAGCAGCATTAGGTGCGACGGGTGTGGATATAAAGGAGGTCTCCTTGGACACAATTTGCACCGACTGCTTCAGCTGCGGCGCTGGCGGAGGTGCAACAGTTGCTGCTGCTGCTGTTGCTGTTGTTGCTGTAGTTGCTGCTGTTGTGACTGTTGTCAATGTTGCTGCTGCAGCGGCTGCCTCCTGCTGATGCTGCTGCTGCTGTTGATGCTGCTGTTGATGCTGCTGCTGTTGATGCTGCTGATGATGCTGCTGCTGCTGCTGCAACTCGAGCAGCTTTTGTGGCTCGGCTGGCGTGGATGGCGTGGACGTCAGACTGATGGCGACCATGGTGGCCGTTGTTGTTGTTATCGTGTTGCAGCTGCTGCTAGTGTTGCTGTTGCTGCTGACGGCCGCTGGGACGGGCGGTATGACGGGCCGTGCCAGTTGCGCCTCCAGCGAGCTGACTAGACCCATGCTGGGCGCACGCACATTGATTACCTTGCGCGCGGACAGCGGCGCCGAAGTAATGGAAATCTGTTGCAGATTGTGGTTGTTGTTGCTGTTGCTGGCGCTGCTGTTGCTGCTGTTTTGCAGCAATTGCTTGAGCAGGGCATTGTTGGAGTCTTCCACACGACTGGGCTGCTGCAGACGCTTCTCCGTGGCATTGCCCAGCTCCTGTTCCTGCTGCTCGGCTGGCACATCCTTATGGCTGTCCGGCGGCGGAGCCGTTGCCTGCTTGACCAGCAGCAGCTTCGGTTTGGCTGCCTCGCTGTCGCCGGCATCGGCTGGCTTGAGCGAGAGTGTTTCGTTCAGCTTGATCGGCTGCGCCTTTAGCTGCAGCTTGGCCACAGTGTCGCCAGCCTCGTGCGGATTGAACGGCTGCATTTGCAGCGTTGCGCTGTTCGCTGATGTCGTTATCAATTTGGGCTTTTGCTGCGCCAGCCCCGTCTTGGACACCACCAGCGAGATATTCTTCTGTATGGATATTATGTTGCGCGTGCAGAGCGTGGCGCCAGCTGTTGACTTCACCAGCGTTTCATCCCCCGCTGCAGATGATCCTACCTGCTGCTGTTGTTGCTGCTGCTGCTGCTGCTGCACCTGCTGCTTGAATATATTAAGGCTGGGCGTACAGTGCAATTGGGTCTTGTCCAGTGGCTTGATGACAACGCTATTGATCTTGCCAAACTCGGTACTAGCATCGCCCCCATCCAAAGATTTACTTTTGTTTAGCAAAATCTTTTGTATATTCTCGCTGTAGCTGATCGTCTTCGGCTGTTGCTGCTGCTGCTGCTCAAGCGACTCGGCATCGTGCTGTTTATCCTGAGACTGCTGCTGTGGCTGTTGCTGCAGCATGGTAAATGTTTGATTTACATTTGTTGGTGTTATGGTAACAATGCTGCCGCCGCTGGGCTGTTGCTGCTGCTGTTGTATCTGCAGCTGCAGTTGCTGTTGTTGCTGAAATTGCAGCGACATCTTTTTGCTAACCACCTTGGCGGTGACAATTTTGGTATTGGCCGGCTTGATTTGCACGTTGGCAAATGACACAATTGTTGTCGGAGTTTTGCGTGGCCCCTTCAGCAGTTTGGCGATGTGCAAATGCTGTTGTTGTTGCTGCTGTTGCTGCTGCTGTTGTTGTTGTTGTGAGGCTACTGTCGCCGTTGTTGTTGTCGCCAGCTGTTGTTTGCTTTCAACAATTGTTGCCCCACCTGCCGTGGTTGCACCGCTGGCGCTTATCAATTGCCCGCCCTGAAGTATTTGCGTGCTGCCCAGCGGCTTCAAAAGCGGCACCGATATCGTCTTATTACCAATGGACACCTTGGCCGTTGTCTGCGTAACCTCGCCCAACTTTTTGGCGTTCACCATCAGCTGCTGGCCTTTCAACTTGGCATGCAAATTGACGCGATTGACCAGCGCTGCGGCCGCTGTTGCTGTGCCAGTAGATGTTGTGGCGCCGCTATTGAACATGTTATAGCTGCCCGCTTGCAGCTGTGTCGTTGGCGTTGCCTTTTGCGTCATGTTGCCAGTGGCCGTGCTGTTGCTGCTGCTGCTGCCGCTGCTGCTAGCCACATTGTTGCTGCTGCTGCTGCTGTTAGCACTGCTGTTGTTATTATTATTATTTGTGACTGTTGCCTCGTGTGTTGCCGGCTTTAGCTCAGCCGTCGTTGTGGCAGGCAGCAGCACATAGTCGAGCTCCTCAACGGTCACAGCTTTGACCAGCTGCTGCTCGCTGTTGTTGCTTGGCGGCTGTTCGGCGCTTGGCTCAATGGAGATAATGGAGGCTGTGGAGGAGGATGATGAGACCGATGCTGTTGTGACATCTTTTTTGGTAAAGCTGGCAAAAGCTGAAACACAAATGTGTTGTATTAGGCGATAGCTAAAACTAAACAACAACAAATTTGCAGCTAAACTTACTTTGCTTTGGGTTGTTGCTGTTGCTGTTGCTGCTGGTGATGTTTTTGGTAGCGGACGACTCCTCTGGCTTGATGGCGCTCATTTCACAAACAATTATTTGGTCATCACGCTGCTCCCAGCAGACGTCAACAGGAGTTGGAGCAGCTTCTGTCTTTGCATTCGTATGACTGACAAAGTTACCGCCAATACTGGAGGCGGCCAAAATGTTTGTTGTCTGTGGCTCGCCCGGAGTTGTTTTACTTGGCCCAGCGCTGATTGTGGCTGTTGTGGACGCTGCTGCTGCTGTTTGTGTTGTTGTTGCTGGTGGGGCTGCTGCTGCTGCTGCTGCAGTTGTTGTTGTTGTTGTTGTTGCTGTAGCTGTAGCTGTAGCTGTAGCTGCACGCTGTTTGGCGGGTAAACTGGTCGTGGGCGTACATATAACAATGTCGCGTTTTAGTTTCTTGCGATTTGGATCATCATTGTCGTCCACACTGCTGCGCTTTTGTATGGAGATTGTATTAAAATTGAGCGCTGCCGTTGCAGATGTTACACGTTCGGGTTTCGCTTTTTCGGCGGCAGCAGCCGCAGCAGCAAGCGATGTTGTCACTTTCGATATATTCATAACAACAAACTAAGCGGCCAAACACATTTAAACGCTAGCAATTGTTGCTCAATGCACTCGGATCTAGAGTTCTATTTGTTTGTATGTACATATAGAGAATGTTTCAAAACATACACTATTTAGACAAAAAATGATTTTTCGTGTATGCGCAGGGTATCCTAAACTTTAACCAGTGATAATATATGAAGAAAAATACCACACTTTGACAGCGTTGCATTTTTCGATAGCAATAAGTACACACACCCACACGCATATACCGAGTTTCCACTGTAGCTATCAAAAGCATAATATAACCTGCATATGCAACCTGTACAGTTATGTCGAATATTGACGAATCTGCTACGGCTGTATTATTATTATGTTCATTGTTCCTTGTCGAGCAATATTCGATTTTTATAAGAATATATAAACGGCAACTGCTTGTCCTTATATATTTGTAAAACATATATTTTGTATTCATATATCGCATATTTTCGATGAATCGTGAATGCGATAACGAAATGCCTATGATAACCCTGCGTCTAAAACAGTGTTACTAAATTTTACAAAATATAAATTACTATTATTTGTATGCATATATATATACATAAATTAATCTGCTCGTAATCATTTAATTCTACTTTTAATATAAGCATCTGATTGTATATGTTAAATGAATTAAAAACAATTTTAAATCGCAAGGTCGACAGTCTGGCAACGCTACGCTGATGCAACCAGCAACAGACCAAACTCCTGAATTCTTGACTGTAATAAATATTTAAAAGAGACATGTGGAGCTTAAAAACGGTCATACAATTACTAAAACCCAGCATAACATGTAAGTAAAATATTATTCTGAAACAGCACAAATATATTTTCATTCAAAATCGTATTCATTTTCAGCTGCCAATGTGAATTACAATTGCGTAGCCGGCCTCAAATATTTTCCACCGCCAATCAAATATGAAAGTAAAAATCCCGAATGATATATATTTTTTAATATTGTACTGTATTACAATGTGCATCAAATTGCAGACATCGAGAAAGTGGAGCGACCCAAGCTGCGCATTATGGAGCGCATGCCCCAGCATCCACCCAACTTGCGACCACCCAAAATGCAAAAGCGTTTACGTTATATGCGCGGACCCGAGCTCGTCCACAATCAACTGCTCCACAAACAATACGCGATAATTGCGACAGGCGGTGGCCGTTTGCGTTGGGGGCACTACGAAATGATGCGTCTGACCATTGGCCGCAAAATGAATGTGAACACAATGTTCGCCACTTGGCGTGTGCCCGCTCCTTGGCAGCCAATCACCAAAAAGGGTCAGGGCCAACGCATGGGCGGCGGCAAGGGCGCCATCGACCATTACGTGACACCTGTGAAGGCCGGCCGTGTGATTGTTGAAATTGCTGGCAAATGCGAGTTCGTCGAATGCAAGGGCTTCCTCCAGCAGGTGGCCAATCAGTTGCCATTCCAGGCGACCGTCGTCTCCCAGCAAATGCTGGACGAAATGCAGACAGCCGAGGAGCGACGAGCTCGCGAGAACCAGAATCCGTTCACCTTGAAATACGTTATACAAAACAATTTAAATGGTTGCCATCGATGGCTGTCGCCTGTGGACCACAAGTGGTTCGGCAAGCATTTATAGTTTATAACGAGCCAATATATAACTTAGTACATTTTTTAATAAACGAACCAATTGTTAATTAATCTTTGTGCCTGGCTTATTCTCGATGTTAATTCAAATTTTAAGTAACAAATAAATCTATATCGGAATTTCGGAAAATAGATTGATTGCTTTATGTTAAATTTCCTCTGTTATCGATATCAAGCTTTCCATTCAAGTTGTTTCTCAAAATGTTTGCCAAATCAGTTTCCAAAAAAGAAAACTCAAATGCTGGAAATGCTTCTGGACTTCAAGTTGAAAAACGTTTTTAATTTATGATTCTATTGCAAACATTCGTTTAATTTCCATTTTTGTGTATATGGGTAATATGTAAGATTATGTTTATGTTTAATATATAATGTAATGTGTGTATTTTAATTGCACGACATTGGCATCAACCAAAGACAATATAAACACCAAGATGAGTAATGTCCATACACTTTTGAATACTACGCACATTTTCTGGCATGTCTTTTCAGCTGGCTTTTCGCTCGCCAAAAGCCACACAAATCTCTCGGCTTTTCGCTCTCCAAAAGCCACACAAATCTCCCTCTGCCGTCGTTTCGTCTTCAAATATTTCAGGCGAATAAATGTTGTATGTATACGAAAAGGGCTAAGTATTTTAGCTGATTCATTATATGAACGTGTGTTTACCTTAGATACAATTGCTAAATTGTAAAGGCAAATTGAAAAAACAAAAAAAAAAAACATTTTAAATGACATAGCCCGCCTTATGCAATATGTTATATTCGGTATATATATAAACACATGTGTACATATTTTGTTGATGCACAATTTACACATACACAAACATCATTTGATGTATACATACACATACATAGAAGCGCATACATCTTGAGAGCACATTCTATTTTTAGCATTTTACGCTCTTTCAAGTTGGGAGAGCGCGCGCAAAGGTATCGATTTCGTTTCGGTTTTTTTTTATTCTTAATTTTGTTAATATATGTTGAGCTGCCTTGTAGCATATTGTTGATGGTCGATAGTTATCTTAGTATTTATATTGTGTTTGAATGAACAACCAAAGTTGTTAATCGTCGTCGTAGTCGTCGTCATCTTAATCATAATCATGATCAGCATCGTGATCTGTGCTTAACAGTCGGTATCGTACCAGGCAGCCAAGTTATTGTTGTCATTGGGTGGCGTCGGCATGGCATCCAAATCAAAATTCAAAGCGCCCGCATCAATCTCGCCGACATCCATGTCCATGGAGTAGGGCGATGTGGGTGCCCCGCCGGGTGGTGCAGCGCCGCCGGCGCCACCACCACCGCCTACTGTGTTACCAGCAGCGCCAGCGCCACCGCCTACTGGACTGCTGATTTCGAGACCTTGCATTGAATCTATTGGTAGAGTATCATATCCTGCGGAATAAGAGATTTGATAAGTGTTATATCGCAAGCACAGCCAAAATTATGTTATTGAAATATATAAATAGTATCGAGTATATCAAATTATATAATATATGTAATATATAAGAGATAAAGCACTCGGATCTAATGGTTAAAGTCATATATAGACATGCATATGTACAAGGAAACTTTCCAGTTAATGCATTCAATTATATTAAGCAAAAGTATGGACATATTTTATATTCTATCGAACACTTAAGAAGCATGCCAAATCAATGCTTAATTAAACTTAAAACATAATTGTAATTGATACTAAATCAAAGTTAAAATAGCCATTTAATATTTGAAAACAAACAATTAATTAAAGAAACTCAAGAGAACTCAATTTTCGAGGGCGCCTCAAACTGTATCAAGTTCGATATTTCCGTGTCGGTGGATGTGTGGATGTATATTAATATTATATGTGTAATTATATCAGAGTGGGGGGATGTACGCAGGTCTACGAACAGTTACCTCTAACTCTCTATTTGCTTGCTGGCAAGGAAGAAACGAATGGTATGAAACATTAGAATCCGACCCCAACTTAACATTCGAGTAAAATGTTTTGTTGTGGATTTAACATGCATGTTAAATATGCTCGAAATACGACTCTTGCTCACTTCCTGTGGAGCTTTCAGTGCTTTTAGCATAGCACCAGAGCTTTTTAGTTCAACGTCAAGGTTTACACATGATTTTTTATTTTTTCTGTTTGTCAAAAAGTTGACCCTTTATGATTTACACTATGTGTGGAGTGGATATAAGAACGGATTTTGAAACATTGAATAGACACTTTGAATTTGGGTTTTTTTAAATAATGGGCGGGAAGGGGGTGTAACTAACTAAACAGACGCAAAGAGAAATGAAGTAAAGTTACGCTTGTGGTTTATTATTTTTTTTATTATATGTATATTTTTACGTAGCACACTTGGCATGCAGAACGGGGTCAATGGGTGGTGCTCATTGGCTTCGGGTGGGTGTGGCGCTGTCCATGGCTGTGGCAGGGGCTCGGGTTGGGGAACACAAATACACACATACATCTGTATCGAGCATGAGCATTAGAACAAGATATTCAAGCTAAGTTCACACGATCGAAGTTTAGTTCATGTGAACTTGACTTTTGAATCAGTGAAGTGGTAATCGATTAATTGGGACACTTGTGTTGTAATCGATAGTTATGTATGTAATTGACGACACTTAACGTAGCTATCGATTATTAAGGACACTTGTTAGGTAATCAATTAGTTACTTGGGTGATAATTGTTAATGTACTAATGATTAATGATGTTAACAGAAGGCTCCTGGGGTTGTGTTGGAGCGGGGTCAATTAACTACGGTGTATGGTGAGGGCGGGGGGCGGGCTAAGTTTCGGTTTACCCATTATGGTCATCTGTGGATTTCGGCTTAAACAAATAATTAGTTTACACACACATATTCATACATTGGTTTTTTGCGGGGTCGGGCCATATTTATGGTATGTTATTTAAATGGGGTAAGATTTGTGATTGATTAGTGTTGATTGTAGATCCTTAGTGCCGTAGAAGGTGAAAGCAAGCCATACATACCTTGCTGATGGAATGCGCGACCTCCGTGCGAACTGTGCACACTGGGCGGACCTTGTCCGTAAAGGCCCTCATATGCTTCTTCGGGTCCAAGCATATCCTGTGATCGTGAACGTGATCGTGATCGTGAACGAGATTGTGTACGTGTTCGTGTGTTGTCAATTCGATTGTATAGTGTGTGTGTGTGTGTGTGTGTGTGTGTGTGTGTGTGTGTGTGTGTGTGTGTGTGTGTGTGTGGGTTGATTGGTGTGTGTTTGTGGGTTTTTTTTTTCGATAGAGTTTTTTATTATTTTTTGGATGGATGGATCAGAAGTGAAAAGTTGTTAGGAAAGAGAAGAGACACATAGACACAGAACACGAGTTTTTGTGTTGCGTATTTGAGAGAGAGGATGATGCACAGTTGCCAGTGTTTGTTGTTGATGTTGTGCGTTGTGTATGTATGTGTGTGTGTGTATGTGTGTGTGTGTTTGTGTGTGCGTGTGATTGTCGGTTTGTTCGAATTCGATTTTTGTTTTTTTTTTTTGCACACAAACAAAACATAATGTAAGAAAATAAAAGAAACGAAATAAATCAAAATTCAAATTAATTACAAAATCAAAAATTAAACGGTAATTAGTTAACATGTTGAAATAAATAACTAAATAGTTAGAATATATGTATAAAGATTATATATGTATATATGGTGGCAAATCAAGGGGGTAATTTACTTTGTTCTTAATATGATAAAAAGTATTTTTTTTTTTGTAATTCGAATCTTTCAATTAACTCGAATTTAAATCGTCCATTAGCTACGGCCAAATGCTTGCAATCAAACTCTACTTAAAACTAACATTAATAAAAATGATTCGATTTTCGTTGATAATAATAATGATAATAATATGTTGGTAATTTTGAAATATATACATAATTAATATGCTTACAAATAGTTTCAGTTATAAATGTATTTGCTACAAATGTTTATGTACAGATTCGTGGATTGTGACTCGAAACAAGACGGGTTTTATAATAGATATATATGTATATACATAGATCCAAATCAAAATATATATCCTAGTGGCTATTACGCACCTGTAAGTCTGGACCCATGCCCAGGTCAGCGTTGGCCCAGATGTTGTTCTCCTCGCGCAGCAGCGAGTTGGTCAGCTCGATGGACAGACGCTTCTTGTAGTCCTGCGGCTTGTCCTCGCTCATGCGGAACAGCACGGCGGCTGCGTAAGTGGCCACGCCCTCGTTGCGAGAATGCAGCAAATCGGTGAGTGGCCCAGTAGCGCCCTCCTGTTCAATTATCTCGGCGCCCTCCTTATCGGCGGCCAGCTCACAAAGCACGCCGGCGGCAACGCGCTGCAAAAACATTATATATTCAATTTGATCATTAAGAAAAGTGTGACAGGCACTCACCTGAATGTTCTCGATTTCGTTGAAGAGCAAACGCACAAAGATCGGTATTACCGACTGCTGGCGTATGAGAGCCCGATTGTGCGATTCACGCGCAAGGATATGCAAGGCGCCGACGGTGCCCTCCACAATCTCCTCCATGCGCACGCCGTCGGCATACGCAGACGGCTGCTGCGACCCGGTGGTGGCAATCGACGAACGTTGCTGTAAAAAAAAGTGGGTTTAAATATATAAACATATATGACTAATACTAAGCTAGCTCCAGATCCAGATGTGGTTATCAATAATATATGTATATCTAACCAGTCTGATAATTGACGCTGCGAGGGTTTTATTGTACTTACGCGTTCTGTATCCTGGAATGCACGCATCAGGAGACGCACCAGATGGTGTATGGCGCCGTGCTCACGCAGCGGCGCATGATTGGCCGGACAGAGGGCCAGATTGCGAATGAGTCCAATGACGGCCTTGATCAGAGGCCAACGCGATGGTGGATGCAATAGCTTGACAATTACGGATAGGCCGTAATTGAGGCGCACCGCATTCTGAGCGAGCTCGGAGTCAACGTGACGCGAGGTTAGGTGACGAAGGGCGCAAACGGCCGGCTCGGTGATCTCCTCGCGATCGCCGGCATTGATGATGGTGCGTACGAGAGCATCGACGCCGCCCACTTGGCAAACGGTCGCCTTGTTGCGCTGATTGTTGCAAGTCAAATTCGAGAGTATGCCGGCGGCGCAGGTGACCACATTGACATCCGTTGATCCCAAGACCTGGACGAGCGATTGCAGCAGCGCCTCAAGACCCTCCACCTTGGTGGCCGCATCCGACAGATTGCGCAGTGTCCAGAGGCAATTCTGGACGAGACGCGGCGACATATTGCCCAAATGCATGGCCAATGCCTGCATGCCGCCGGCATCAACAATTGCTGGCTTATTGCTGGAGCATACCGAGAGCACCTTGAGGACACGCGATGTAGTCCACAAGAGCTTCTCGTAGTCGTATGAGCGCATAATGCGCACCAGCTCATTGGGTCCGCCGGAGGCGAGAATGATAAGCTTGCTCTCCTGATTGCCATAGGCCAGGATCTGCAGGCAATCGGTCACAATTGCCAAGAACTTGACATTGTTGCGTTGGAGCAGCGTCACCATCTTCTGCAGGCCGCCGGCCAGACGCACGGCCATCTTGGAGCCATCCTGGTGCAGCAACAGATTGTGCAGCGTGGTAATCGCATAGAAGAGCACACTCTCGACGGGCGAGGAGAGGAGCTTCACGAGAGCCGGTATGCCGCCGCTCTTGAAGATGGCCAATAAGCCCTGGCGATGATGCGACAAGTTGTGGAGCGTGCCGACAGCTGCCTTGGTGCTCTCCAGATCGTTGCTATTGGAGATGGCGCGCACGAGAGCGGCCACCATCTGGGGACTGTTCATGATGGCATGGCGCGATGCCTCCTTTTTGGACAGCTGGTGAACCATCATGGCTGCCTGAGAGACGACCACCTGGTCCTCATCGTTCAACAGCTTAATCAGCTCCGGTATGGCGCGTGTGGCCAGTTCGGCATCGTCCTGGTAATTGATTAAGTTGACCACCGCATGCTTTAACATCTGCGATGGCTCCGATAGGCGCTGCACAGCGGTTGGCTGCTGTGGATCAAATTGTGTTGAGGGTATCTCGATGCCCTCCTCGAGCGTCTCTGGGAACATGGCGGCGCGAACCCGTTGTGAGCGCGTCTGGCTCAGCTGTTGATTCATATCGTCCACCTGATCCTGTGTAAAATTTTGCGGAAATCCCGTATCCAAATCAAACATTAGCGGATCACCCTCCATCTCCTCATCCTCCTTGCCAGACAGCGACGGCACCTGGGTGACGGCGCCCGAGTGTATGCCGGAATCACCCAGATACGAGTTCTGCTGCCACATCAGTGTCTGCTCCTTGGCCGACACCATTGGCGGCAAATCCGGCGGATTATATTGATTGTTATGGGACACTACGAACAACAAAATTTCCATTGTAATTGCATAATATCTATCTAAGCCTAAATTCTAAAATGAACTCTCGAGTCGAGACATAGAATATACATTAGCCCTATTCAGTTTATGAGAATCGCATAGAAAGGCGACATGAAAGCAAATTTGTAATTTGTAATAATGAAACATGGAAACAGATGGAAACAATAATTGTCTGTTCGAGGATGTCTGAATAGGAGATACCCTATATATGTTTGGTGTCATTAGCTCTTATGGTCTGTTAGATCGGGCGATTTCCGACTCGGCGATGTCACCTTATATTTGAATAGGTACACGGTATTTATATTTACCAGGAATCGCAAGTTTACTTGTAACATTATACATGCTGGCCTTTCATTTTGCTGTTAGATGCCTGCAACAGGGCTGGTCTCGTCCACACACTCTCTCCCCAACACCCCACCCACACATTCAGTTCGGTTTATAGCGTCCTCTTACATGTGCCACTTCTTGTCAGCTCAATTTACTTTATGTACACTTTAAAATACTCATCTAAAGACGTTTTAGTGGATTTGTATTTCCGTTGTGCAAAATGACAAGTGTACTTCGTAGCTAGGATTAAAGACATGGACGCTAATGGGTTAAAGAGGAAATGGCCCAAAGCCAACGTCTGGCTTCTTGTCGTATTTGAAATGCGACACGACACGGCACGACAGCGACAGAGAAATGACAGCAACAAAAAAATAAAACACATAAGTTGAAACAGCAACTGAAATAGGGACGTGACAGATTGAGCGCTGCAGGACATTTTTTGCATATTATAAAAATGACGGTCCCTTTGCAAAATAAAGGAAACATGTGCCTTAACATATATATACAGATGAATATATAGTATACTATACTATGTACTATACATATATATATAAATATGTGTGTATGTGTGAAGATGGAACCCATCAGCGTCGTTTGTGTCTCAACGAGCAATCAAAGCTAAAAAATGCACGCTGCGCGCTGCCAGGGGATGGCAGCTGCTTCTGTGTGGGTGTGTGTGTGTGTTCGAGTGTGTTGTGTGTGTGTGTGTGTGTGTGTGTCGCAGGGCTGGTAATCGAGCTCCAAATGCGTTGGGCGCTTTGTTAGCCACTTTGCCTTAATTATGCCTGCTCAGCAATTCGCTTTGTTTTTGAATTTGCGCTATTAATGCGCAGCAACTGCAACTGCCAACGACGGAGTCCTTGAAGGCGAGCCCTCTATTCATGTTTATTTCCCAGATCGATTAAACGCACTTTGTGCCATATTCTCAGGCGGGAGCGAAACGCCCTTAGGCCGACGTTGACGCCGCCTGCCACTGCTGCGCTCTAATTAAATTTTTGTACAAAAATCCCAAACGTGTGCCGGCAGTTGAAATAGCAGAACGGGGGAAAAAAAAATGTATAAGAGCTTACAACGAGTAAGTGTGTGCGAGGGAGACAGCGTGTTAAAGAGCAGGAGAGTGAGTGCATGCACGCATACATCAACACGCCCCAAATCAAACAGATTGCAAATGAAGTGGCAGCAGCAACAACAAGAAGAAGCACAAGCAGAGCCAGCAGTGGGAGAAGCTGTGTTTGAAGCAAAAGCAACAACTGCCGTTACAAAGCGCAATTTGCAAAGGCAGCATAATATGTTGAAGGCACAAAGAACCAAATGAACAAGTTGGCAGGGATGGCCGCACTCAAGCAGAAGGAGATGCATTACAGCTATAAAACAAAAAATAAAAGAAAGCAGACAAAAGAACATAAACAACAATGGCGACCGATAGATTCCGTTCATGTTGTTGCTGTTGTTGTTTTTGTTTCTGGATAAGCATTGGAGCTAGCCCGCAATTTTTTCAAATCGATTACTTACACTGCGCCTTTGCTCTGCAAATAATCGTTTGTCAATGAGCATTGAAGCGAATTTGTGCTGCAGCTGTAAAACAATAAAAGTGATTGGGGCCCCGCCCTGCCCGCCCCCATCACGCTTTGAATCATCTGCATCGGACAAAACAGAGCGCAAATGCAAAGGGCCTTCACTTAAATAGTTAAACAAACAGCAATTTGTTGACCAGAGCAGAGAACTTAAAATTTATGCGAACTAGTTAAATTGAACTTATTCAATGAGTTGTGAACGAACCTGTTAAGGTTCATGAACGATACAAATTATTCTCGGTTCAATATTATTACATACATATACATAGGTTACGAAAGTATCTTAATGTATTTTAATTAATGACCAAATCGACTTATTATTTTGAACAAGTATTTCTAAAACTACCAACTCTTTGAGACTTACTTGTACGGTTCTGGGCTGGCATGTAACTCATCTTGGTGATTTAGGCGATTTACACCACACCTAAAACGATAAAAAATGTACATCTATTAGTGTGGATTAAGAAATAAAAATGTTCAATACAAAATACCCAAATATAACAGTTCGGTTCGGAAAAAGTATGGAAACCGCGTGTATAAGATATGAATTGTTTGCAATAAATACGATTCTGTACTTTTCTGTTTCGGGCCGTAAATCTCCGGCCCGACCGGCTTGCTACCTGCATGATCATCATTTGTGTACATAGGTAATGCTCCATACTATATACATATTAATATGCTTAATCGTTTCTATGGCCCTCATTTAACGCAGAGCTTTCATTCACGGTTCCAGAAAACATAACTAGTTGTTTATGTAGATATAAGTATGTATGTGTTTATCAATGTACATTAACACTGACACACTATTCAGTTAAAAACTTTACGTGAGAGCTGCTGAGTCAAATTTGAGAAAAAAAAACGTGAGATGAGACACTAACTCCCTCAACTCACTTATACTCTCTCAAAAAAGCAGGTAACCCGAGTATCGTTGCTCACTCGTATTGTATCACTATATATATGTACGTATATATACACGCATACACACACACATATGTGTCTTTACGAACAAACATGTATTTCCGTTTCGAGACGTTGCGGTGCAAACAAAATATGCTAAGGTGCATACTTAAGATAGTATGTATGTGCGTATGCATGCCTGTATGTGTGTATGCATATATGTATGTGTGTATGCATGTAGGGCAACCAAAGTAGTTTTTGATAGATTACCTGCAAAGCGAAGAGCACAGCTAAAAACCTGACGTAATTTAAATCACGCAAGTAACTCGAACAGACTTTAATTTACTTCAACTTCTAATTTTCTTTTAATCATGCACAGAGAAAAAAAATATTAAAAAATTATTTGTAGTATTCACTGTTTTGCTTTTTCTTTTTGTTTGTGGCAAGCCTTGTACTGGTTCTTGGCACACGCAGCGAACGACCAGCACCGAGCGAAACAGACAAGTGACTGGAAAACGGTGAGAACGACGCCGTAGCGGCCGCGGTGCACGAACATACATGCACACATTGTGCAGCGAGAGTGAGCGAGAAGTATCGGGAAAGAGAGAGCATGTGTGTAAATAAGTACACAAGAGGCAAACTCCAATGCAGCTTAACAGTGTTGCCATATGCTGCGATACAAAATGGTAATAAACTGATCATTTTTCACGGAAATGGATTCCCGCTTTGGGTTTCTCTATTGTTGACAGCAATTTAAATAGACATATGTACATATATAGATACATCTCACTGGGATAGTGCACTAGCACACTAATTTCTGCATACTTCACTGTGTACATATATATATGTATGTTTTATGCTGCGCAGAAAAGTGCCAGCTCCCTGCCAGCACACATACATACATATGTCATACATACAACATAAATATATATAGATTTCTTCATTCAATCGAGTATTCATGAATTTATAATAAATTATGAATGCATAACTCGCTGACGTTGTTTATGTTTATAACTATTTAAACATGGATAACTCATATAAACACACAATTCGCAACTAACAGTGTTTGTGGTTGTATGTGTGAATCTACCACTCCCCCGCTGGTTGCTTGATTCCCATAAACGAAAGCAGCTTTCTTACGTTTCTTCTTACACTAGTTTTTTTCAACATAAAGCTTCTTTATTTTTGTTGGAAAATCGACGTTCTGGATACAAATTATTCAACTTCAGGAACTTACCGCGTTAATAATAATTTAATCTGCTTTAAAGCAGGCTTTATTTATTTTCTCGCACTGAAATACACGAATATTACAAAATATTTTCCAGCGAAAACTAAGTATGTGTGTATATGGCAAAGACCTGCAATACTTAAAACGATACTATCGGACGATTGACTAAGTTATCGCAAAACTTGTACTCAGAATCGATTATTTAATGAATGTACTCGATACAAACACATTTAGTGTATATTAAAAATACATTTAAGTTTTGTTTTTGGAAATTTCAAATTTGACGACTTATTCAGGGCTGTGAAGACAACTTAATTATGTTAGTTTGTTTTTCATTCTTTTTTTCTAAGAGAACAACTTGCTAATAGCACACATTGCACATTATGTACATATGTATGTTTGTATGTCTAGTGCATCCATTGGGCATGTCAACAATCAGATTACTTACAACTTAATAATTTATATAGAACACGACACCAAATAAGCTATAAGTTAAACAGATTACTCACCGTGTCAAAAATTATAAAGTCTGCTGAAAAGCAGGATTTATGAAAAAATGCATACACCTGACAATAAAATTTAATACACAAATTTCTTGCAGCAAACACTACTTGTATATACTAGGGATGGTTTGAATAAAACTATCGATGTCGACCATCAACAATATGAATATCGGCAAATTGAACAGTGGGCAAATCAAAACGACGTTGATAAACAGTTGAAATACTTCATTGGCAAAAAAAAATCATATTACAGTCTTTTTATTACTGGGAATTCGACATATTTTCTTTTTGGGAACTAACTTAGTTAAATGACCGGCTTAAGTTGTATTTTGGGTCGATTCGTTTGCATTTTCTGTACTCATATTTGCCTTTAAAAACTTTATGAACGCATCTCGGTGACGTTCCATCCCAAAGAATAGATAGAACTGCGAAAATCCAAAATATGCAATAAGGGTGAACACGGCCACAGCAATAGCCAAACTGCCAATGCATGCCAGAAATATCATGAAGATAACAGTCAGCAAGGTGCCTGTAATTGTAACGATATAAAAATGTCCAGTTCGATCTAGTTGCCAAATTATTATCAAATACCTTCCAATACGAGAATACCAGTAAAAGTGATTGCCAAGGTAATAATGCCAAAGCCAAAAATTATAATCAAAGGTAATAGGAACACAAAACTGGCGGCCAGCAAACAGATGGCAATGTCTGGATGTTGGACACACCAGGAAGCCGCAGCTTCAAGCAGCTCATTTCCGCCCAGTTCGCACATGATGAAGTAGGCGATGCGGCGTCCCTGCAGCCCTGCATGAATTTAAAGAAGAACGATTATGTTGTTATGCACATCAAGCCTTCTAAATGTTTTGCTTACAAAGCTTTTGCACGGCATGGAATATGCCATCTAACAGTTGTTCCAGATTCAGAGTCGACGAACCCTTGTTGATATCTTCTTTGGAATTAGTTTGGTCGCTTGCGTGCGAGTCCGTGGCTCTGTCACGGGGCGCGGATTTATTTGTTTGTGTCTGTTAATGAATTAATATATTGAAATCAACGATAATGAAGACAACTGCTGCTGTTGGGGGCAACAAATGCCATAAAAAACATGAACTTCGATTGTTCCAATTCATTCGACTGTTATTTGCGTGCCTACCATATTCATGCGGTGTGGCGTACTTTGTGTATTATTCTTTAGTAGCACTTATGTCCATTTTATAATTTATTTGTTTTAGCAAACAATTCTGGCAAGAACAGCATAAAAAGTAAACATTCGCAAATAGTGAGCTGCCAACTTGTTGCAAGTTGCAGCGTTGCCAGCACTTCAATATTTTAATTTTGGAAATGTGCAATAATGTGCTATAAATATTAGACCTGGTTAACGCACAACAAAATACGTTCATTAGACAATTATCTGCAAGTAAATTGCAGTTATATTTGTACATTGTACATGATTTATTTCAATGAAGTATGAATTGTAAACCATTGTACGGCGGCCGTTCAGTAATTCGCCCTGCTATAATTTGTTCGCCGTGTATAGTCATACGGCAGCGCCGTTTTGGTGCATGTAAACAATTTAAATAAGTGGCAGCCTCTCGACACTGTAGCGGTATCCAGCCGTACATCTGTGATTCCAGTAACGGATAATCCGGTGGCGAATTAAGCAGCCTGTGACGTTGCGCCTGCGCCTTTGAAATCGAATGTTGCTCGTATTTGGCGTAAAATTTGGAAGTGATTGGATATACTGTAAGCAATAAATAAATATAAAACTTATAAGCATATGTATATGAAAACGTAGAGCTATTTGAAGTAATGGTTAAAAAAAAGAACTAGAAGCGGAACCGATATTTAAGTCTCGCTAACTACTCGGCAACGGATGAGAAAGAGAAAGAAAGAGTTTTTATACTCTTTTACATGAATGAAAAAGCATTGTATTGTTTTTGTCCGTCCTCTCATTCTCATTCGTCTGACCGAAGGAGAGAAAATGATGCGATCAAAAGTAACGGTAACACACACATATGTAAATACCTTTGTTTGGGGGCCCGAACACATCACAGATGCGTATGTGTTTATTGGACTTGCTAATTAACTCCTTTTCGAATGCGTAGGGCATTGGACGTGGATCACCTTCGAAGTGATCGTTATTCTGGTCATCGACATCCTCGTCGGCGTCGCCTTTTGCCAGTGCCGCATTTGGCTTCATGCCGCTTGGCCAGGACAACGTCTGTGGCGCGTAGCGTGCCGTCTACGTCTGATTGGGATTTGTGCTACAAGGACGCCTACCTGTCTTTTCATTTATAAAACTTGAACTCATTAAACTTTTGCCATTGCTATTATTGCTGTTTTTTGTACTTGCTTCTATTATTACTGCACCCCATGACAGGCAATTTCGCCATTGTACACACGCACCCACAGATATACATACATATATACACACACATATACATATATACATATTTACTTAAATACTTGTATACAAGCAAACGCATACAAATGGCAGCCGGCAACAGCGGCGTGACCTACATAAACACACACACACACACAGACAGAAACGCCAACGTCACCAGCCGCGTTGCCATTTATTATTTGCAACGGGGACAAAGCTGATCATCATCATCATCGTCGTAATTATCATTATCGTTATCCGTGACTGCAAAAAGTTTTCCCTTTCGCTGCTTCTCAGCTTATTTCACGTCATTTGTGTCGTTACGTTTCCGCAAGTAAGCCGAACCGAACCCTTGAAGTATGCAGCAATTTCCGAAAATAAAAGCATTGGAACAAGTGAAAGTGTTCCAGTCGAGCGTGTCTGACTATATGTTACCCTGTAGCCTGACATACGTTTGTCTTAATCTTAATTATTAATCTTAAAGTTAAATGAAGCTAGACAAAAAGAGAGAGAGAGGGCGAGAATGTGAGATGGACAATAACACAAGTTCCTTAAAATATTTATTTTATATTAAAGCATAGAAGGACGCTATGTAGAATACAATAAGTGTGGCGTTGTGAGTAAAATAAATATAAGAGCGCTTTCAGTAAGCTAAACGTTTTTCGTAAATATAATATAAAGTTTACTAGTTTTATTTTGTATAATATTTTACAAGCTTTTATTGTATTGTTGTCCATGTGTACATTTTAATAAAAATATAATAAATTAATATATATAGTTATATCTTAATATAAAAAAAAAACCCGAAATGTCCATTTCTGAGTGTCTACTTACCTTGAGGCCATAAAAATCGCATAGAAGGGCGCGTGTAGGAGACTTATGTGAATTAATAAAATGAATTTGAGCTGCGAGAAAAGTAAAAAAAAAATATTCAAATTTGTTGCCACTAGTTCAAATAGACAGACGGACATCGCTTGATTAACTCATCTAATTGTCAAGCATACGAATAGTTCAACTCGATTGACCTACAGGGTATAATAAATGCGATTGCGTGCCGCCGCAGCTGAGGCTGAAACGGAATCAGTAGCCGATGCCAGGAGGAGCTGGCGCAGGCCAATTCGATTGAATTGTGCAATCCTTTGTATTTTCGTATCGCTCGCAATAAGCGGAAGCATTAAATACACCAATTTAATCAGGAGGAATGTCAACAGTCAATGAAATTAATTACAACCCAAAAAAAGAAAGAAAACAAACACGCACACAGCCACAAGCACACGGACAAAGAACACACACACGGATAGACAAATACACACGCACACTGACACAGAAGAACGCACACTCGAAAAGCTATCGCTGTGTTGAGTATTGTGGCATGTACACACAAGTATTAATAAATTACATAATCGCAATCGCATAAACAAATTGATTTGTTGGCAACCAAACAACAACTGCCTAACCTTATATATATATATGTATCTATATATATATATATATGTATGTATATGTGTATATATCTAAATATCTACAGATCAGTCGTGCGGGCGGGGAGCTCAGATCGCCTCCGGATAGTATTCGCGATAGGCGAACGCCTCAATGTATTCCGGGCGGCGACAGCTGAACAGCTCATAGGACAATTGCTTGTGGGCATGTTTTTCGAGAGATTGGCGCGTCTTCTCCAGCAGCACGTCCTCATCGAATTTGATCCGTTGCACGGTTGTTTTGCGCAAAATATTTTGCACCAGCTGTGACCAAACGGAACCCTCATCCGGCTGCTGCTGCTGCTGCGTCGGCGTCGCCGGCGGCTCCTGCTGTTTCTGTTGTCCGTCTGTTGTTGCGGCGGGCGGAGCGCTAATTGCGAGCGGCTGCATCGGCGCCGGGACCGATGTCGTCGTTTCCGTCTTGGGCGCATTCAGATCCTGCATGATCGTCTGCAGCCGATCGACCGTCTCGGACATGCGTTTGCGAAAGTCCACGATCCGTCGCGTATATTTGAAGAGTTCCCGCTGCTCGGCCGGCTGCAGCTCGACAACGTGCAGGGTGCCCAGTTCGTCGGCATTGAGCAGCGGCTGAAAGTGCAGCATTTGCGCCTCATTGGTGCCCATTAGATAGACACGATGGACAAACTCCTGCATGGCCGTTGTGTTCATCATGGCCAGCTCGTAGTCCAGCCGCGCCGCGTGTATGGCATTGCGTATCAGCTCCACGTCGCTATCGTTGCGACCGAGCGTCCCGTTGAAGGAGAACTGCAGCGGCAGCTGCTCGAAATGATCGAGTGCGTCCAGTATATTGGCCAAATAGTTGCGCATCATATCGCTGTCGGGCTGTATGTTGAGCAGACCCAAGCGCCGGATTAGTCGTATGTTGACCGCATACTGTTGCTCCAGCTCGAAAAGCTGCCACAACGAGCGCATCCGACTCTCGTACTCCTTTTGGGCGACAACGCCCAGCACGCTGCTAATGTTGCCATCGAAGAGCTGTAGGCCACGGATGAAGGCCACGTCCATGGTGTAGTTGCCCATAAAGTTGAGCACATAGCTGAGCGTGTCTTCGGCATTGGCGAAATGCTCGCGACGCTGGCCAAAGAACCCATCCAGATCGCTGACGGTCAGCTGATTGCGTGCCACCACGCTGGTCTGTTCCGTTCGATTGTATTCGCGCTCCTCGCGTATGCGCTCGAAATTGCTCACCAGGACATCCGCCGCCGGCTGCTGGAACTCATCGAACACCTCAATGTCCACGGCCATGGTTGTGCTGGGCCGGTCATGGCTATTTTGTGAGCTGCCCGGCTCGCTGCTCGGTGACGACTCAAAGGTGGCGTCGCCTTTGCTCGGCTGACACTGCGGCTTCCATTTCGCCTGCTTGGCCACACGCTGTTTGCTGCTGCGCTCGAAGAGCGACCTGGACGTAAAGCTGGGCAGATCAAGCATCGTGAAGATGTCCTCTTTGTAATTGTGACAACAGTGTAGCGCCGACATGTCCATGGGATGTGCCTCGGTGTTGAAGATATAGGCGCCAGCCTGCACCACGCACACGTTCTCCTCGGTGTCCAGCAGCTCGCCATGTCGGTCTTCGCCATCGTTGTGCAGAAAATTGTCCTCATCGAACAGCAGATAGAGATATTTGGTTGTCTCGGCCAGAAAGAATGACTCCATGCGATTCTCCTTCTCGTGGGTCACCACATTGCGTATCTGTTGGGCCGTACAAGAGGATTAGCTCCTGGCAGAAGCCTCAATCTTAAAGCAAAAGTATTACTCACCGTCGCATAGCCGCACTTGGTTTTGGCACTGAACTCAATGGTCTCCAGCATGTGCTCGCCAAGCTCGAGCAGATATTGGTTTTTGGTTGCCCGATAGAGGTACATGGCCGACTCGATGAGCTCCGGCCGCAGTGGATAGACCTCACGATTGGGCGCCGCTTCGCCGGCTGGAATGTTAAAGAATTCGGGCAGAAAGCCATATTTCTTCCACACGCTTATGTAGCGTGTCATTGTGCGCATGGCGGGCTCCGTGTCGCCAACAATGCTCAGAATGCCCGGCCAGAAGGACTCGAGCGATTGGAAGACGGGCAGCGTCACATGACCCTTGTTCATCCCCACCCAGACATACCAGTCATCCTTGCGCATATACTTGTCAATGGGCGCACGCGCCTCGGCGAACAGCTCCAACAGCTCCGGGCGATTTAGTAATATGGCGCCCTTGACCAGATACTCAAACAAGGAATCGACGCCGGCGCCAATACCCGAGTCCAGTGCCGTCCAGCGTCCGCTCTGCACATCGATGTGATTGCCAAAGAGACCAATCGGGGATCGACGCTCCCAGAGCGCATAGATGGCCTGCAGCGCCACCTCCTCGTATATGCTCTTCCCAGTGAGCCGGCTGAGCGTGCCAAACTCAATCAGAAAGGTGCCCACACCTGCCGTGCATGTGATTGACGTCTCTCCGCTGGGCACGCCGTAGCGAAGATTGACGGTGCCATATGGCATGCCCGTGTTCGTATCAAAGGCTGGCAACAGTCGCCGGGCCACATCCTCGGCCATACGCAACAACGGGCCGCTGCATGGCCAGCCGGGCTCCAGTTCGACGCCGGCGCGACGCGATAGCAGATGCGCCGAGAGCAGCCCGCCAACAATGCGTATATTCGTCTCGAACACCGACACATTGATGTCCCTATTAAAGTTCATCTTCTCGATGAGTAGCGTATGGACGCGACGAAACTCTGAATAATTGCCCATGGTCGCCAGTGTGTCCAGTGCGTCAATCAGCGTCAGCGAATAGCTGCCCCACGTATCGTGTCCGTCGCAGGTGAGCGGGCGCAGCTCGTCATAGTTGCCAGCGTATTTAAGATAGCCATCGTAGGCGTGCTGAAACATGCGGCGTACATCCTCACTAAATCGTAATAAGGATTAACATTGTTGCTGATGCCGCATATACATACAGATTTAAGGCAAATCTTACCGCAGCTCCAATTTGCGTGTACGTGTGTAGTGCTTTTGCCCGACTACCAGCGTGCCCCGGCTGAGTAGAGTACACAGAGTGGCGATGATGTACAGGCTTTTACAAACTTTTTGCATTATTTCAACAGCTTGTTGCGTTCAATCCATGCGTCCCTAATTAAATTACGAGCATTGTTAAGTCCACATAGCCAGCAGAAGCAACGAGTGCGAATTGCGGTTCTGGCTACGTAGTCGCAAAACAAAAATCAGCTGTTGCCGCTACAGATTCCATTTCGAAATATATCGATGATTTAACACAGAGGGCATAACGATATTTCGATAACAATTCGAATGCACGAGCTCCACAAAACTGTTTACTGCTTGGAATTCAAATTTGTGCTCATTATAAACTATTTTGCTTGAATATCATACTTTCGACTTTTTATTTCACAGTTTTCAATCCAAAATAAACTTAATGTGCCAGTGCGTGTAACTAGTATCTTTGCAGTATATTTTGAATAAATTGTTGCAAAAAGAATAAATCAAGTTGCCAGCCCAAATGTATCGATATCGCTATTGAAACTCGCCCATTTGAAAGATGTCATCGCTTCGATTAATAACAAAGAACCGTCAAAACACAAGATTTTACCAATTGCACAATGAAACCGAGTTCCTTATGTACGTATTTAATGCAATAAATATGCATTGTTACTCTTATGTTTTTGTCCACTGCCGCTTACAGCCATATTCGCCGAAGATATCCTAAAGGATTATGGCACATTTATGGAGCAACATGATGAAAAAATGCAATTGTTACAAAAACAAATGATCAACAACAACAGTCTCGATGAGATCGGCGGCTCCAAATTGTTAACTTCAGTGCCACCGGCTATAGAAATCAATTACATCGAGTCCCACTTTCAAAGCGGCAGCAATTTGAAATTCTCTGAGGCCGAACTGCTGGCCAACAAGCCGCTCACAACTTTGGCCAATTTGTGCAATCAGTGCAACGATTTAAGCAAGTCCGCCGATCAATTGCAGCTGAAATTCCTCAATGCCGGCACTCAAATAGAAAACTTACAGATTTCGCTGGGGATTAGTCCCAATATGGGACTGGAGCACATACTATGTAAAATGAGTTCAGCAATTGACTTCTTTTGCCAAATATATTTCCTGCTAAAACGCATCATTGTTGTGCTCCAGAATATATGGACTCAAATAACATCCTACGTGGCCACAGCTGTCGACGTCAATGAGGTGCACATCTTTGTAAGTATCTAGGAAAAATCATACGAACGCAGATCATGCTGTGAAGGAATTAACCTCTGCCATATGCCGATGATATATGTGTAGATGATGCAAGCATCATTTGTTTAATGGCCCTGCATTTTGTATCCTTGACCACTTCGATCTCACAAAGTATACGTATTCGGAATCTGAATGATGAGCTGCTAGCCATGTCCGTCCGTCTGTCTGTTCCTATGAAGCTTCACCTTTGGATGATAGTATAAGGTTTATTTAGTTCATACTCTAATGGAGAAACGATCCTTTTTTCGTTCCCAAGAACTTATCAAGCTTCGCTTTGCTCCCAATACATAAACATTATCCAAATATTGCTGGCAGGTTGAACACTCAACATTTCAATTCAATTCCTAATTACAATCCAGAATGTTTTTGATGCAATGGCTGAATTGTTGGAACATATTGTTATATTCAACGAGCTCACAGAACAGTCGAACCTTTCGAACAAATGGTCCTTCTATAAGAAGTGGCTGCAGACGCTGGCCAAGAAAAACGAGATCTTCCAGCATTGCAGCAAATTCGAGATTAATGGCCTGGAAACCTCTCTGGATGACATAGAAACTGTGATAACTGGCAATATATTTCGGGTAAGCAAAAATCGCATAGTCTCTCTAATTAAACTACAAAATTATTCATGATCCTCGTTTTTTCGGTAGATTTTTCTGCAGAGCTTGCTGGACACAAAGCGACAGTTGAATCTGAAGGACGCCAATGTTAATTATATTACCCAACATTCCAATGCATACATACGCAAACTGATGAGCTCCATTGAAGTGAATCAAGCGAATGAGTACAAAAACTATGAGCAGCCCAAGCACCTTTTGAGGCTTACCGCATTTATTTGTGTGCTGCATCAGCTGGGCATTCTGCTGGATGGCAAGCTAATGAAGAACGCCCTGGACACACTGAACCGCTATCAGCGTGTGCCCTTGAGTCGAAATGTTTACTGGTCGCCGCATGCATTCATTTGCAAGCATGCCAGGACGCTGGTGAAGGCGCAGGATAAGGTGCAGGATTGCCTGAAGCAATATCACGCCAGCATGGAGAAAATCAATGCCAACGATTTGAGAAACTGCCGCCAGCTGGGCACCCAGATTGCATTGTGGTCCATAAATATGCAACGTGTCTTTGCCGCCGGCACCTTTGGCCAGCTCAAGAGCTTCTCCAAGCTTCTATTGCAGGGTCAGGGCTATGCGACTCAAGTAAACGCTTTAATCGATAGCCTGATCAAGCGACATCTGGCACTGGGGCTGTCCATTAGCAAAGTCACGCTATTTACCATTTGTAAACTTATGCAGTATTTGCAAATATTGCAGAACACATTTGCATCGAATCAAATCGTGTGTATACGCTTCTTGAGCTCCCTGCTGCAATGGCAAAAGCAGAAAATGCAACATCTGCTGTTGCTGACTAAGAAAAGTATTGTGGATCTGAAGCTGATGCAGAGGAAAATGAACATATTGTACACGCTGAAGCTCTCGGAGAAATCAATCAAAGGCTATCCCACCAAGCGGCGTCTGACCATTGTCAATCTGGCCTTAAGCGAGTATCTGGGCAAGGATCGCATACTGCCGGCCGATAAGCAAAAGCTGCTCAAATCCATTGCGCTGCGAGCCAATAATCTGTGTCGTCTACAACAAAATATGCTGGCCCAGTTGGATGCCACAAATCTGTTAAGCAACTACGATTCCTTGGCGCTATCCGATGCTGGACTCAAGGAGTATGTGCAGCAGCAGCATAATCCATATTTACTGCAAGTAGGTGCTCGGCATAATTAAGTAAATACATTCATTAATAATGCACATTTTCCCAACGTTAAGAATATGTTTGCGGCTAGCAACAAGCTGGACAAAAATCTGGCCATCTTCAAGCTCTGCGATGAGGCATATAACGAGCCGAGCACTACTCAGAGAATATTGGACTATGAAAAAGAGTTTCTATGCAATCATCTGGAGTTTCTGTTGCGTGTAGAAGCATTGTCACATCTATTCCTTAGCCAAGAGCATCCATTCACTCAGCAGACCATCGATTACAGGAACTGCATTAAGGTGTCTGCAACTGAAGTGGACGGCGCTTATAGTATACTAAAAGGTTCATTACTTATGTTTGTTTATATAATTTGTTATATATATATTTACTTTGTCATGTCCGTAGATAACCTTGAGAACTATTTTACCGCAACGTTTTACAATTTAACGACTATTGCGCCGCACGATTGGAAATCGTACGAAAAGATGCGTCATTTGGCCTATAAACTATTACAACTACGACCTGTCGATGACTATTTACCCAATCAGATAATTGATCAGGTAGGTTACCTATGCAATTAGGTCTACACATGTATATATAAAACCTAACCCATAATGCTGCTGACATATAAAATATAACAATTAAGTTACAAGCAACTTCTCTTGATATTTAGAATTAATGCAGTAATTTATAGCAATTAGTTTCGTTGGAAAACAAAACAAAACGTTAATAATATATATAATTTATCTATTTAAATTGGGAAAATATATTTTGAAAAAATGCCTGATTTAATTGATGAGATTCTTAGTAAAAAGAAAATTGGATTTCGAAATAAGTTTGCATTAGAGTTGGAAATTGGATATAAATAATAACTCTGCCTATAAATGAAAGCAAAGTTAAAGTAACTTTGATCCCAATCATTGGATTTATCTAACCATATTTGGTAGATGCCAATTTTTGGGTAACAATCAAATTTAGCCCGCATTTTGTACATATATGAAAATATGGCACGACTTGCAAATATTTTCAGTACAGCGGGCAGCTGGGAATTGAAAATTAAAATCAAAATGAAGGCAGCAAGCGATAAATTAATATAAAATCTATGCTTAGCTACTAATTGAGAGTAAATGTGAGACTAACCCATAACTATATATATTAACATATCTGTATATGTATTTATATATTTACCGAATATTGATTTTATTTGAACAGGGCATCGACGTGCTTCAGATAATGCGCAACATCCACACATTCGCCTCGACATATGCATACAATATGAATTTGCAATTGTTTGTTGAAATTCAGAGCCGGAATAAGCATCTCGATATTATTGGTACACGGCACGTGGCGAACTCCGTGCAGACACATGGCACGGGCATTATAAACACAACGGTCAATTTTATCTATCAGTTTTTGCGTCAGAAATTCTATACGTTCTCAACGTTTCTGCATGATGAGCACATCAAGTCGCGACTCTTGAAGGAATATCGCTATCATGCCGAGCAGAAGCATCAGAATCGGCCATACCAATCGTATCCCTATGAGCGGGCCGAGAGCTTTATCAAGAAAATACGAAAATTGGGCGTGTCCAGCAATGGGGAAACGTATATGGACCTGTTTAGGAAGGTTATCACCCAAGTTGGTGAGGTTGATTAAAATGATTTTAGATTTCCATTTAATATTTAACCTTCGCTTCAGGCAACGCTGTCGGCTATGTGCGTCTGCTGCAATCGGGCAGTAAAAATGCTAACTTTAGAAGTCGCTCCTTCATGTCCCGATTTAATGGCAATTTTGGGCGCGGCGAGGACAAGGGCCTGGAGTTGACCACCGAAGGTTCCATCAGGGAATACAAAAAGAGTGTTGAGCATCTGAAGGAGTGCTATTCCGACTGCACCAACTACTTTAAGGTATTAACCAACACTTATGAATAAAGACATAAATCAAAAACGAACTTTGTATATATTTTGCAGCTATTAATGCAGGGCTTCCAACCGTTTCTATGCAATCCACACAATCATCATTTGCGAACATTCTTCCTTATAACACCCGCCCTGATTATGAACTACATCGACTACCGCGTCAAGGAGAAGCTGAAAATGTACAAAAAGGATCAATCGAAGTGTTCGCTGTTCGAGGATGGCTTCGCCATCGGCCTGATCTACATTCTAAATATGCTGAATCAGCTGGGCGATTTTCATGAGCTCGGCTGGAGTCAGACGACCACACAGCAATTGAACGCCGAGCGTCTCAAGCTGAAAAACATCCTGTCCGCGCAGAATAGGGACCAAAGCCGTGCTCCACTCCCAACTGAAACGGACGAGAAACTACTTCAAACAGTCGCAATTACCGAAAGACACGTTAATGCCTATGACCATGAATATAAATTGTTATATGCTACTTTAAGTAGCGCTGAGATATTTTTTCAATAAATCCCTTTTGACAAATATAAACCCGAAAGAATCAAGCTCAAAATATTAAACTAGATCTAGATAAAAGCAAAGCTGAAATTAAACTTATCCAATTAAGAGTGTCTAAATTTTAAATTTTAACAAATAGTCGCGATAGTAAAACAATTTTTGCTAGTAGTTGTTTTTTTTTTTCTAACTTCAGTTTATTAAGACGAAACAATTCTGACGTTGATAAAAATTGGATCATAAACATTTGCTATCCACATGCGAGTTGTTAATTACGTGACTCGTTAGACTACTTGTTAAGGTATTTTGGGCACTTTTAATGCAAGTTCTTTAAATCGTATTAAATCACACATGCACTTTAGATAAGTTTAAGTTTGTATAAAGTTTATATATTGGTGTATAGGGCTTGCCGGTGATAGCAATATATTGTAAATGCATGAAAAATACAACAATTTGGCGCTTATTAATCAAATGCAATCCGTTCAATGTGAATATACATTGTTGGACATTAATTTTGTTGCGCACAGTGAAACACTTAAGGATTAGACACAAATGCAATTGCTTGAATCGAATCACTTAATCTGAATGATTAGCATGTGATTTGGTATTTCGTCGTTTCGTTTTTGTTTTGTTTAGAATCTTGTTAGTTACAGAGTCGTGTAGTGCATACAATCACACTCCTTAAGGTACTATGCGATTCCATCTTGCATTCGAAAGTTACCCGAAAGTTGCCCATTGTTTATATGAATATTATTAATTTATATTGATAACATAGAATGTCTATTGAAAATATGTGTTGTATTTCATATTATTACAGTTATTGGTAAAAAAAAAAAAAATATTAATTGTTGGAGAAATGCGAAAGGTGTTTTTTTTGTTTTTTTCGTCTTAACAGAATTTCTGATCTTAAAGTGAACCACAATCGGCGACCACAATCTTCTTTGTGGTCTTGCCAGACTGCGAGCCGTACGATTCGATCTTCTTGACAACATCCAAGCCCTCAACAACTTCGCCAAAGACAACGTGCTTGTTATCCAGCCAGGCGGTCTTCACCGTGCAAATGAAGAACTGCGAACCGTTGGTATTGGCGCCAGCGTTGGCCATTGAGAGGATGCCGGATCCGGTGTGCTTCAGACGGAAGTTCTCATCGGGGAACTTGTTGCCATAGATGGACTTGCCTCCAGTGCCATTGTGATTGGTGAAATCGCCGCCCTGGCACATGAAGTTTGGAATGACGCGATGGAAACTGGAGCCCTTATAGCCGAAACCCTTCTCGCCGGTGCACAGGGCACGGAAATTCTCGGCTGTTTTGGGCACGACATCAGAGCGCAGCTAAAATACGAGCAGAGAAAAGAAAAATAAATCAAATGATTCAATTTAATACAAATAAAGTTATATTTACATATACAACACACACACTCACAAGTGTATATAAATAATATATACATACATACATATACATATAGTCTGTACAATGACCGGAAAATTACCAAATATACATATGCATTAAAAAAACATATATGTACATACATATACACACAGAGAAAGGTACACGCTCGTCTACACATGCACATCAATTTAATTGCAACGCGAGTTGGCGCGTGGTGTGTCACCGACTTTGTCCATTGTCTAAATCTAAATTATAGATTTGAAAATCGAAATTGACGTAAGCCCATTACATCATCAAATAAAATTAATTCTTTCTTTAAAGTTCGTTCGTCAAAGTCAAACGGGTTTACGGCATTCTTAACACTATGCATGTATCATATCACATACACACATACATCCAGCCTTTCAGCGTTTAGAAATTGAGGTTATGTTTGTGTGTATTGATTTGTGTGTACATACATACGTACAAATGCCGGCAGCTATTCTTTTTTTCATATGCCTATGTATAAAAATAAAAAATTGGGTGATATGAACTCCGTTACTTGGCAGATATTTAAATCGGCAACTAAAAATATAAGTGGCGAACTTTAATTGTGCTATCTTAACACATACATACATATCGACTTGTGTGCGTGTGTGTGTGTGTGTAGGTATGCATACATACATACACATGTGTGTATGCATTTTTTTTTTTTTACAAATGTATATGTACGCGCTCTTGTACATACACAACTTAGAGGTGGCAAAACGATAATTGCCACTTAAATCAAGTATTCAAATGCATGTGCACACATACACGTACATTGACAAATATGCACTCGTGTATTTGTTGGAATTAGTTTTCGCATGTAAGTATTATAAGACACAATATGCCGAAAAATAAAAAATATTTATGTTAATCACGTGTTTTCCTCTTGCAAGCATACTGTGAACTTTATTATAGGAGTATGTACACATATCTAAGTGCATGTACACACGTGTATACTATATATGTACATGCATATATGTACATATGCACTCACGTACGATAAATTCATTTTTAATCCAACACGTTAAAGACGCAAACAAAAAGATAAAAAAAAAAAAACCGGCAAAAATAATAAACTCACCTCCATAATTATCCTACCGACGGGCTCGCCATCGGCGGTCATATCGAAGAATACTCTCGGTAAAGTACTCATTTTCGATCCCTTCGAATATTCGCGAACAAACTGAATTCCAAATTGCAACTGACCTCCGTTACTGCCAATTCGAGCTGGGGTTATAGATTTTTTAGGTAAAATGGCGGACCCAGCAAAGCGAAGTGCCGACGACTTGTGAATGTTCCTAAGCAGAGTTGCACCTAAAAAGACCATCGTGTAAGTGTGCCCGCTCGTGTATCACTAAAATACACGAGGCACTTAAAAACTTTTTCTTATCGTTCCATTCCATTAGCTGTTGTTATATCACAATAAGCCGGGTAGAAACAGTGAGCCGAACTAGTTCCGCGACTCATCGAAACATACGTATTGTTTGTTATTTAATTTGATATATAATATATAATTAAATATTGATTTATTCTGGATTCAATAGAAATAAAACGCCTTAAGTTTGTGCACCCATTAAGTTTTCAACCAAGTCGAGTAGATCTGAGCGGATCATGATCATGTAAAGCAAACTAATTTGTTTATTCAAAATAAACTTCTAAAGATGTTGCTAACAAAAATTTACTTTGAAATGATAAGTGAACACTTATATTGATAAAAAAAATTTAAAATATATTTTTGAATAAAATAATCGGAGCTAGCAACATCTGGTCTTAAAACTAGGGAAGTAGCAACAACCAAAAGCCCCATCGTGCTCATCGTTATCGATATAAGTTTTTCACCAGCTCTTGTATACCAGGGCTCCACTACATTTCATCTTGTTATCGCGTCGAACCGAAGAAAACAATTTATATTCAAACCAATCGCATTAACAGTCTTTTTTAATTTTATAAATTAATTGTTACTTTTTTATTTGATTTGTTAATAGCATGTATTGCTTTCTATAATAAATGTGATGAAGAGTATTTATCAGTCTTTTAAAGCAGCAAAATTTTTATTTTCATTTTTTAATACTTTTAAAACCAAGAAAATTAAATATCTGCGATTTTTTTATAACAATACATATACAACGGCTCCATTATTATGGACACAAGAAAGTGTTAATAAAATACACTGTATTTAAAATTGTTTTTGTTTTATTTATAATTTTTCACTTAATACAAAAAATACTCTTATTTTCCACTTCTCATATTCTTTTGTTGGTTTTTTTTTTTGTTGTTTTTCTTTTTCTTGTTATGGTATTAAATAAAAATTAAAAGCAAACAAAATGGCAACTTGCGCCAGGGAGCCAAAAAGATAATTAAAAAAAAAATAATAGAAAAAATAAGAAAACACAACACTATTTCTTACATTGAAAAGCTCCTTGCTGATAAAAAAATTATAATAAAAAAATTAAATCCAGAGGCGAGGGGTGGCGGGTCGGGGACACAAAGAACGACGATAAAAAATTTTAAAATAGCTTTCACAGCTGTATTAAATACATACACATGTATGTGTAAGGCCAATGTATATCAAATACATATAGTTAATTAATTAATTAAACAAAAAAAATAAAATACACACACAGGCGGGTAATTAAGTAAAAAACAAAGTTGTTTAAATACAATATTTAAATTTAAAGAAAGGCAACGGTGGCTGCTTAAAAAACACTTGGTCAATATGTTCTCGCGTTTCTATGTATATATAAGTTATATAGTTATGTGTGTACTATATATATGTATACATATATATATATATATATGTATATGCATATATTGGTATTATCTGGCTTTTCGCATAGTTCTCAATCAAAATTGCAGTTTATATAGTAGCTGATATAAAGTTGTAAGTTTTCCAAAAAAAAAAAAATTATAATAATAATAACTGTGCATGGCTATATAAAAGTTTACTCCGAAATATCAATTGGAATGGATGTGGTAAACGTCGGCGTCTCCAGCTCCTCGTGCTTCTTCATTTTGAGACTCTGCGAGAGAGACAGAGAGAGAGAGAGAGAGAGAGGAACGTGTTAGTGCAAGCACACTGCATAGAAAAAGTATGCACACACTCACCTGTTGCAGCTTATAGTGATTGATAATGTCCTGATCGGCCGGGCACGACTGTGTGAATGCGTCCAGCTGATACATGTGATACATGTAACGCCACAGCGCCGTCAAATGTGTCTGCAATAGAGGGAGAGAGAGACAGAGATTTAGAAAGAGCGAGAGAGAGAGAGAGAGAGAGAGGGAGAGCTAGAGAATTGGCACTCACCGGTATCTCAAAGTCGACAAAGTATTTGCCCGCCACACGAATGTGCTGCAAACGGGGCATCAGCTCACAGTCGAAGCAGCACATGGTGTCGCCGGTTAGGAAGCGTGTATTACGATTGGCCAAATGATCGTTGATCTTCTTGAGATGCGTGAGCAGCGCATTGTTCTTGGCATCATCCTTCTTCACCAGCATCAGCTTTAATTTCCCATACAGGTTCTCAATCAGCGTGGCCACATCCTTGTCCTGCACGAACAGATTGTAGCCGCCGGGTATGTTCTTCATGATATGCCGTTCGATTTTCTCGTTCTCCAATATGGCCAGGCCATTGTCAATTAGGATGGGGGGATGTGTTGCCTCGAAATTGGTTCGAAAGTCTGGTGGCGGCTTCTGCATATCCACTGTGGTCACCTTTAGGCTAATCGTCTTTAGCTCGGCCAGCAGATACAGATCCATAAAGTACTCCTGACAGAAAAGGCAGGCGCCCTTGCGGCGTCCATCAATGGTCGAGGCCTGTCAACAAAAAATTCAAAACAAAATAAGCATATTTCGTTTTAATGGTTATATACATATGTACATACATATGTCCATGTAGGTCAAGTGTCGTTTTATATAATCATCAATTATCTGTGCTAAATGGACATTGTTAAGCTGTGATCGCGTGCCAGGCGTTTGACAAACAAATAAATCAAATACAATTTAATGAACTAAGCCAACACACAGTGAACGCTCGCTGAAGTAAACAAATGCATGTATGCATTACATACAACAAACATACAGAAACTGGCTACATCAGCAGCAGAGAGAGAGAGAGAGAGAGAAAGAGAGGAGAGAGAGATTTCAAATCAAAAATAGATCGCAATATCTGTGACAATAATTAAAGTTTATCTAGAAATAATCGTACTTCTTCAGGTGTTCATTAATTTGAGTTTTCACTGTAGTACGAATCATGTGACATCATCATTCACAATGTGTAAGTAGCGAACGTACATTGCGTGATGAATTGTCGACGCATGGTATCGAATAGGTATCGAAAAATTGTTCGACGCTTGCGCGGGCGTCAGGAAGTGCACACAGTTCCTGCCATCACTTAACATGCCAGAGCCACGCCTGCGTGGCATTTGACCAGAAAATGTGGAATGATGTCATCATCTTTGCTCTTTTTTTTTTTTTGCTTGACTTGTTGATTTATCGACAGCCGGTAATTCATATGTACACATAAATACATATATATACATCTAATACATATATATATACACGTATATCTCTAAGTGTGTGTCTGTGTGTGTTAGATATACTCATGTAATCGTGTTTGTGTTTACACGCTGCAACACAGCTCCATCTACAGCGTACATTGCTTGCAAGGTTGCCAGCTGCTGCCTAAAATAGAAGTCTTGTAACAATTGCCGGCCAATCGTAAATGAGTAATCGCACTAGCAGCAATAACTACCTGTCAACAACTATACAAATGCTTGCAATCAGCTGTTTTAACATTTACGCATCAATTATACAGGCAATTGTGTTTAATTTTCTAATACGAACTAATTAACATGCGTTTGCGCACACACACACACACACACACACACAATCAAGTATCACAAAATGCATGCATATATGTATGTACATGTTTGTATCAATGTTCATAGAATGTGTATGTATAAAAGAAACCGCACCCACGCCGCCCCATCATTAAGCACTCATGCGTGTGCTGTGGATATGGAGTGGAGGGGAGTGGAGCATCGTCACGGGTGCGTCGTCACTCAAAGTATTTAACGCTTGGCGCTTTAACGGTTTATTTTATATTGCGGCAGAAATATTATACATGTGCCTTGTCGCATTAGCAGCCGGTGAATGCCCAGCAATGTTATTAACTGTTTGCTGATATACTGATACGACCATGTGCATGTAAGTGTGTACACATTTGTCACACACAAAATTCCCAAATGACCTGATTACTTTCTCACCTGCACTTGCAGACATACATACATATGAATTCTATATACATACATACGTCTCGTGTGAGTGCGGTTAAAATGTAATTATTTTGCAATATGAATTGCTAAATAAATTGTACAGCACGCGCATGTGGGGAACATCAAAGGTCAAGTTGAGGTGCCTGCCGCCGTATGCAGCAGCTGAAAGATTGTAAAAATTGCAATTGCTGATCGAAAATAGAAATGACGAACGTTAAACAAACCAAAAGCGGCCGTTGGCAAATGTCAAGTGGCATACAAGCAGCGAGCGCATAGCAATCTTTCATATTTGAAAAAAATAAATGCCTTGCCAAAAACAACAATCGCCGACGAGCAATAAAAACGTTAATTTTTAAATACATTTCATATTGTGCTCGCAAATAACTGTGTGCGGTTTGGGGAGAAGAAGAAGCAGGAGCAGTCGCAAAAATTAAATGGCATCAATCACAGAAGCGGGACAAATCTATTGTGTGATTTTCTTCTCTCTTTTACTCTACATCCTCCTCACTATTATAGTTACGAGTCTTCGATTCTTGATTTGTTGACTTTGTTTTTGAAAAAGGGCAACGCTTTCCGTAGAAATAATAGTGAGATAAGATAAAAAAAAAATAAAATACAAATGGTTAGCGCGGCTAGTGCGATCAGCAGCAACAACAATCAGAAATAAATATGAAATGTATGTATGTGTAAGCTCCCATACATATGCATGCTTTTATATGTACACACATACATAGATACGTATGCATGTATTTGTGCAATCTGTGCGTGCTGTATTTGGGAGTGCGTTATTTTTGGAACCGGTTAGCGCTGACAGCTGCAGCGCGCAATATTTTTTCGACGGCGGCATCATGGCTACGGTTGAGGGCGGACAGAGAGATGTCAACCTTGGGAGCTTTCTTGTTGCTTCCCCGACCAAGTGGCGCACATTTCAAAATACATATCTTATCAGGAAACAGCGGAAGCATTCGCCCCAATAGAAA